ATGAATAGAATATGTATTCTTTGGTTTAGATTGGTTTGGTTTATTTTGTTTTACGGCCTATCAACCTCTATGGGTTATTTAATGCCGACTACATTTTTAGGATAGATTCGTATGAATAGAATATGTATTCTTTGGTTTAGATTGGTTTGGTTTATTTTGTTTTACGGTCTATCAACCTCTATGGGTTATTTAATGCCGACAACATTTTTAGGATAGATTCGTATGAACAGAATGTGTATTGTTTTGTTTAGATTGGTTTGCTTTATTTTTTTAACAACATATCAACGTCAATGGGTTATTTAATGCCGACAAGTTTTTTAGTGTTGGTAATATTTTTCCTAAATGTATTGCTTGTAATATTTTTTTTTCAAGAGTGTAGTACTGTTACAATTTGTTCCAAAAAAGTATTGTTGATAACAGTTTTTTACAAAAATGTATTGCTCGTATTAAAACCTATTTTTACACTTTCGTAGCATTTTGACTTCAGTTTTTTTATCTATTTGCCCATAGCTGGGACCCTAACAGGTGCTACCACTCCGGGTCAGTGTGGACCTAGGAACACCAGCAATTACGATATGATTCCACTCTACTCAAAACCTCCTGATCAGAGGCCTTGCTGCCTGATGAGGTTTATCGTCTTACCCAGGACACCACTTGATGTAGAGGGTTACGTTAATTTATATAGATATGAAGGGAAGATAACGGTTAACTGAACAGGTTAACATTGTCGTGATTGGACTAGCATCCTTTTGGGAGTCAGAGCAGCAGAAGCTGCCGAAATGGAACTCACCTACCAACGATGCTACACAGAAGGAATGTAGCTGGCCTGCCACAATCTAAGCACTATTGAGTACCCTCAATGGAAGTCGAAAGTCTCGCCATTTTCCGTCCGTGAGATTAGTTTGGTTTGGTGTTGTATAGCATATCAACCACAATGTGTTATTTAATGCTGACAAAATTTTTATTGTTGGTAATATTTTTTTTTTCAAGTATGTATTGCTAGTAATAATTTTTCTTTAAAAAATTCTGTTCCTGGTAATATTCAGAAATGTATAGCTGGTAATTTTTTTTTCAAAAAGTATTGCTTGTAATATAGTTGCTTCCAAAAATTTATTGTTGCTAATATTTTTTTTACAAAGTATTTCTAGTATTAAGACCTATTTTTACACTTTCGTAGTGTTTTGACCCTAGTGTGGGCGTTAACTATTTACCCATAGCTGGGACCCTAACAGGTTCTACCACCCCGGGTGTTGGTGGACCTGGGAACACCAGCAATTAAAAGATAGTTCCACGCTCCTCAAAGCCTCCAAATCAGAGGCCTTGCTGTTGGACGTAGTTTATCGTCATACCCAGGACGCAGATGTAGTTTATCGTCATACCCAGGACGCAGATGTAGTTTATTGTCATAACCAGGACGCAGATGTAGTTTATCGTCATAACCAGGACGCAGATGTAGTTTATCGTCATACCCAAGAGGCGGAGTTAGGTTATCGTCATACCCAGGAAGCAGATGTAGTTTATCGTTTTACCCAGGACGCAAATGTATTTTATCGTCATACCGTATGACGTGAGAGGGGTGCCGAAGAAAATATAATATCAGAATAAAACATCTGGTTACACCTAGTTATTTTTAGCACTAAAACGAATATGAAGATGAATATAGATTTATACATGTTTCTTTCTCGAGAACTGACGACAGTCTTTATTTATGAGACTGTCATTTAAAGAAAATATTTTGCGACAAATATGGAAACGGACGAAGGGTGCGACAGCAGAGACACAACGGTGGAAGCTCGTATAAGTTTTTTTTTTGTTTTTTTTACTGTAAGCTTTATCATGTCCATTACCTGGGAGCCGCTCAAGGTAGAGACTTACGTTAACGGGTAGTGTTATATTCCGTGCTAATAGGGATATATACTTGAAAAACAAGAAGGATAAAATAAGTAAAGGTTTATTGTAAAAAACCAGTACAATAAGGATAAAGGTAACAGTTATGCACAAGGTCGTCGCAAGTCAATCCAGTAGTGAGTGTTACTATTGGAAGGGCAGTAGTTCTCGCGTAAATCTGAGCCGTACTCAACAGATCCCAGTTAGTAATATTTACTAACTTCCCCACGAGGTAGGATGTGGCACAAGGCCGAGTTTAATGCGGTGCAAATCGAGCCCGTAGGCTCGGCCAAAAATTCCCAGTAAATCACGCATAAACGGCATCGGATCTGGCTACTGCCCCGGACGAGACTCTACCCGAAGGCAGAGCCTCGTCCGGGTTCCTCTCTACCCGAAGGCAGAGAGTTCGACAGCAGCGAAGAGCTGAATAACAGATCCAAGCCAGTTTCTGTAATCCGTTGACTTACAGTAGACTTACTTATAAGTAGTTACTACCTATCGTGTAGTCAATCATGGGGGTGACAAGTTATTCCATTACATCAGGTAGTTTATATTGATGGGAGGGGAAGCCTGGAACAAGTTAAGATTATAGTGACCGGGGAAATTCCTCTTTGCAGTCGGTTCCTTAGAGCAGTGGTTCGCTGGAAGAAGCTGTGCAAGTGGAAATTACTTTTCAACGGAGGGGGTGTGGGTTGTTTGCTACTATTTAAGTGGCATAGAGGTTCCTATCTGTGAAGCGTAGACCAGGTGGAACCAAGGAATGTAGTTCGTCTGAGCACTTTCTATGGAAGTAGTGATAGAGCAAGAGTTTTGAAACAACAGGTCTACAGGCCTTGTACCACATCTAAGCTACGCTTGGAAAATCACTATAAGACCTAGGTGATATTATTTTAGCGATTTTGCGATGGAAGGGTGACTATGTTTACGCGAAAGAGATATTTAACCTTTCGTAGCAATGATGGAATATTCGCTGGTTGATTCCTTTTTATGAAGTGTGAGTTATAGCATAAGAGAACTGTCAGTATTAAGGCAATGATTAGCGCTTTTCCCAGAATCCGTGCAAGAGTGTCGAGCAAACAATAAATGAAACGAGTAACAAACATTCTTTTAGCCACTGAAGCATGCGTACGTTTCTGTTTATTTTTTCCTCTTCGCTTATAAACACATACATGAAAACGCACGCAACGTAACACTGAATATAAACGCGCATCCGCTTTTAAACAGAAGCCACTCGAAAAAGAAAAAGAAAGATTTCTTTTCCGTAACCTTTAATTAATTCAAAACGAGATGGTCAAAAAAAGAAAAAAAACAAAAGTCACGTTTAATTCAACTTTGCCAATTAAGTCAGCCACGTTGCGGGTGTCTGCTCTGAGTAACTCTCGTCTGCTCGCACAAATCACAGTGAAAATGGCGGTAAAATTAGCGCTTTTTTTTTTTCATCGCAGTTGAAGGCAACGGGGAGCCATGGAAAAAAGAGCTGGAAACAAAAAAAAAATAAAAGACAATTAAAATGGAGAATTTAATAAAAAAAAAAACTTAGTGAAGAGAAAAATGATTAAAACGGAATACGAATATAAATTTTTTAAAAAAAGTATTTAAAAATGGCGAAATATCCAAAGGTGACAGACGTCTAATATATGCACTGGAAGATTGCAGAACAAAGTGACTTAATGATTTTTTAATGATTAATGTAAGATGCGTAAGAAATTTTATTTATTGTGTCTAAAATTAACTAAAACAAGTAAATATACAAAGGGAAAACTGGAATGTCGAATGAATTATCTAATGAAAGAGAAAAGGATGAATGGATGAATAGAAAGAAAACAAATTAGAAAAAAAGAAAGGTAAAAAAAATGAAAAATGCAAGAAAAATGAGAATGGCGTAGGACAAAAATCAATGAAAGATGAGAAAATAGGACGAAATGAAAGAAAGAATGAAATAGAAAAAGGACAAAAAAGAGGAAGAGGAAGGAAGGAAGGAAGGAAATATGAAAGAGAAAGAAAGGAAGAGAAAGAAAGCCAAAGAAATAAAGAAAGAGAGAGGGAGAAAATAAATAAAGAAAGAAACAGAGAAAATAAATAAAGAAAGAAAATTCAGGGAAAGAAACAAAGCAAGAAAGAAAGAAAGAAAGTAAGAAAATAAATAAAGAAAGAAAATCCAAGGAAAGAAAAAAGCGAAAATCCAGTGAAAGAAAGAAAGCAAAACAAAGAAAATAGAGGAAAAGAAAAAGAAAGAAAAACAAGCGAAAGAAATTAGAATTTATAGTAGTAGTTATCTCAAAAAATAGGTCAACGTCAATCTACTGTTTTTTACTCGGCCCTAAGAAGGGCAGAAATTAACATTAGCAGATGACCTCTTAAACTTCTTCACACATCACATATGGCTGATTTTCATGGCGGTTGCTTCTCTTGTTCAGGTTTTTCTTCTGGTACCATCTCTTTGTCTAGCTAAAAGCTGTCCACTTAGATTCTTATGGCTAGGCTCCTAGACTACCGGTGCAATCCTTGGTTTCGGCTACCATAAAAAGTCTCTTTGTGTCGATTTTTTTGATTGGCCAAAATTATTTTATTTTCTGGTGTTCCTTTCTTTCTCAATTTTTTTTCATATAGCAGAAGTCATGCCTCGAGCCTCTCTAATTTTTGGTAATTTTTAGTCACAAATGTCTAGACTCTGGTCCAGAAAACTTCCACTGTGATTTGGCCTGGTTCAGTTTTTTCTTCTTCTTCCTCTTTTTATTTGAGGGTTTCCTTTCCATTAGTGAAGATAGAAGTATAAAGAGAGAGAGAGAGAGAGAGAGAGAGATAAGGGTTTTAATAGAATGCAAATGCTTTATTTTAATCTGAATTCTTTTTATTTTCGTTTATATATTTAATTTTTATATTTTATTTGGCCTAAATTGGTTTATCAGTTTCTATGAGATGGGTTTCCTTGGTTGTAACTGATTTTCCACACCAGATTCTCTTTTGGTGCCAATCTCTCTATCTTTTTTTTATTTGTCTGTTTTTATTTACATACTGGTTATTTCCATATCCTTTTATATATACATATATGCATGTAAATCTAAAGTGAAGATAAAAGTATATATATATATATACTTTTATCTTCACTTTAGATTTACATGCCTATATCTATCTATCTATCTATCTATCTATCTATCTATCTATCTATCTCTCTCTCTCTATATATATATATAT